GCCAGCGGAAAAGGGCGGACACCAGCAGTGACAGACCTGGGAGACAAATGAATAGTGTTTCTACATGGCCAGCGGAAAAGGGCGGACACCAGCAGTGACACAAAGGGTGGACACATCTTAAGAAAGAATTGAGAACCCCTAACAGTAAACTGTTTGGGGAAAAACTGTATTCGTTGGTTGAGACCTTATGTCTAGCGAACCCAAGCTCAATGTCTGGTCTGCTCCTTTGGGGCCTCCCTGAAAGCTCCGAGCACCTCATACGGTGCAATGCTGAGCGTGGGATTCTGCACCTTGAGCGGGCCGGGCATTTCAGCATCCCGCGGCCTCGTAACAATGGTCTTCGTAAATCAGCAATTATATAGATCAGAGATGATCAGAGAACATATGAAAAGCTTGAAAATTCCATTGTATCTTGAAAGACTAGAACGGTCTCTGCAATGGTCATACCATGTCACAACAACTGGGCAGCCACCCTTTTCTCCCTCGGAACCATCATGGGGGGGCGACCACCCCGTCATGAGCTTAGGCTTTGGTGGCCTGGCCCTGTCAGGCCAGGTTTCTACCTGGATTGATACTCCAAAAACGGCAAAATCCCCAGTAAAACAGCAGAACCAGTGCCTTTGAGGGGATCAAGGCAGTCTCTGGCCTCTCGTTCGTGACCTCTCAGGAACCTCCACCAGCCAAGGCACAAAGATCGTCAGTTGGTAGTCACGGTTGGCGGTGATTTCCCTGAGAGCACAGGGCAGTGAGAAAGGGGCCAGTGAGAGGTAGAGTCCAGAAATACATAGAAATACCAAGATGTGGCCTCAAAAGGAACCACTCCTGGCAATAGGGCGCATGGAGTCCTGGTGACCTGGTGATTTTCCTCCATGTTCCTCCCAACATCTGGCTCACATCATAGGAAAATCATAAAACCAAAGAATCATTCTCCATCATTCATGAAGAATCATCTGTCATGTCATTCCCATCAACTCCACACAACACGTGGATGCGCACGAACTCAGGAGGCCCCGACCGCTCAGAAGCCAGTACCGTGGCGGTCAACGTCCGCTGTGTCACAGAATCGATCGACTGGGCCAGCGTGCGCGGACGGTGCATTCACAGACCCATATAAAACAACGGGATGCACGGGCTGCAGTCAAGATCCTTTACTAAAAGGGTTTTGATGTTTTGGGCGATGGCAAACTAGGTTGGGTGGGTTGTATAAGACCCAGTCGGTAAGGATCTGCGTGAAACAGGTAATAAAATCTCTCAGAGGTCTTGGGTAGGTGCCTCAAACATCCTCAAACCACAGCAAATCGTTCAGTTCATCCCAGCCAATTTTCAGATTGACTCAGGACTTGAGATAGATCAAGATCATTGGAAGTTAATGACACATGTCGAGGAACTGAATAGTGCGAGCGCTTCTTGAAGGAAGCGTGAGCTATCCTTATTCCAGTTGCTAGTAGCTTGCTTGTAGCTAGTAGCGACCTCTCCCTACTAGCTACCTAGCTACTAGCGGCCTGCCCACCCCCTTTCAAAAAGGCAGAGGCTTGTTGGGAACATTGGGAACAGATCTATCCCATGCCCGTTCAAGCTTACGCCATGTTTCTGTTCAATGAGTCCCAAGTTGCATTTTGAAAACGGATGTTGTATAAGCACGTTTCCCGTAATCCATGGTGATCCATGGTGATCCTGATTTCTGAAGCACGTCTTCCTTCGGCCATAGAAGCGGATCATTGACGATGGTAGACTATAGATATCGCTCTGATTGATCGAAGGGTTCATGTGTCTGAGACCTCGGAGTTGCTATTTCCAAGGGCTGAAGATACCTCTCCACAACCCAGCATCTCTTGGATCCCGACGCAAAGCACATCCGCATCGCCCCAGATTAAGGATGGCCTGGACGCGCTGTGCTGGTCAGGAGAAAAGGCCCAAACTCAAACCAACTGTGTATTTTGAACCCCAGCTGCGCTTCTTGCTTGCAACATCCATATTAGATCCATCAAACATGTCTAGACTCTAGACTCGACCAAAAACGGAATCAACGAATGCCCAAAAGCCTCAATGGATTTCAATGGTAATTTTCTGAAATTGACCAGTGCGAGCTGTACTTTAACATCATAGCGACCTGCTGCGTCCAATTCTTTTGTCGGAGCTGGCACACTTACTTCGTTCAGAAGACCTCATACCATTGTATCTTGGAACATCTTCAAGAATCCCCTGCAGACTTCGTGAATCCTCACGAATGTGAGTTCAAAATCCTTGCTTGAAGCCTATAGATACAATAGTGAATCGCTGGTGACATCAGTTGACCGAATCTTGCGATTCGCTGTGTATCCCACGAGCTCCCCCACGGGCCAATGAAGTTGGGGTCCGGCGGGACGTTCGGGTCCGCGTTGCCGAGTCCTCACGGATGGCAGATGGGCGGATGGCAACGTAGGAGCTACGGAAGGCAATGGAGCACAATCCAAGAAGTACGAGTCAATCATCTCCACAGACCGGCTGAACAAGGTTGCAGTTGGAGCAGTTCCAGCCCACATGTTGATTACCTTTTCAAGAACAAAGTCTGACTCTACATCTCGATAAGAAGCATAGCCATTGAGTTCCCATTCTCAACTGCATGTAGGTTGCCAGGCTGCCGATTTGTAGGTCAAATAGCGGTGAGCCAACGTTCCACTTGGTCCATAGCTACAGTGCTGGAGGCAGTCGCAGCGATAAGAGCCGCAGTTCATAGTCTTGCGTTGTGGGCAGTACTGATTGCCGTTAGGACATCCAATGCAGGGGATCACAGCAAGATCCTGATTTAGAAAGAGTAACTGCAGGCTCTACATCCAGCTTCAGTTCCGTCCAGCTCCTATGCATTAGCAGGTCGTCATTGGACCCAAACGGGCGAGTTGCCCAGGAAAACAATTGAGGTTCTGGTAGTTTTTCGAGACATCTACCTTCGTGGAAGCTGGATCCTGAAAGACTGAATGGTACGAGTGCCTTGAAAACACGCGCCAACACCCAACAGTTTATTCATGCTTGGTCTAGAAGCCACAAAGCTGTGAGCTTTGTTCATCAAAGCTGCAACATGTGTTGCTCGCTTCGTCTGCGGATCCACTTTAGCTTCGTTCCATCGAAGCACTTTAGCTTCTCAAGCTTCAGGATCCGCTGGCGGAGTCATCTTGCCGAAATCCTCGTCAGTGGAGCTCGACAATGCTTGCCAAAATAGAGAAGAAAACCATATATCATTACAGTATCAATATATCATAATATATCATATAAACATATACAGTACATATATTGATACAGTATGTACCTCTGCAACTCACCAGAACTTTACCTTTGTAGGTAGTCGTTGCAAGCATTTGTGAGTCTGCCTGTGGTCCGAGTGGTTCATCTTCTATAATCACCCAAGCAAGGACAGCCTCATGGAGAGATCTGTTTGAATTGATCAAAACTCTGTGGTGCACGATTTACGACGCCCTCGTTTTTCACCGAAAAATACAGTACGCAAAAGAGCAACCGAATGGTCTACCAGGGGGTGTTCACTTCCCAGGGTTTGGGTAGCTATTGTGACTGACACCCAGAGTCGATTTACCCCGGGACAAACATAGGCCGGTCTTTCTAGGGGGCAGAATAAAACTGTTTTTGCCTGAGATAGACTCATTCAGACATAGAGACATAGAGGTGATGCTTTGCTAAGAATCGTGTGTGGAGTAACGATAACATATATATATATATAGTGGTTTATCCTTGGTGAGAAGTGAGAGGGGTACACCTGGTCCGCACACAGATGTTATCTGTCTGAGTGCAAGTCCGCATGCGAGACGCGGCACGCAAAGAGAGCGCACCTAAGAGGTGATCCAGAGCGAATCATCAATCCAGAGCCAGAAGCTACCAGTAACAAGGGCATTACTACTAGGAGCTAGAAGCTATTAGTAACAAGGGCATTACTAGTTTGAGGAGCATCAAAAGCCTGGGAAACCTGATAGATTGACTGCAAAAATGTTGTCGTAAGCTGGTCCTTGTGCCGAGCTAAGGAGATGCGGCTATGAAAGTCTTACAGTAGCATAGAAACGGCTGAGCATGAAAAAGTGGAGTGACCCTGTCTTCACCTTGAGCTTGTCTATTGAAGCAACAGGACAGCTTCCAGAGCATTCTCTGAATGTTTGAGCTACGTGAAAAGGGGCTATTAGTAATCTCCAAGCTGGAACCCAGAGAGCCCCTTCGTCAAGCTGTTGATTACCCACATTGTTCTCTCCATTGAGAACAGGCCTCCTTGTTCCAAGATGTTCTAAGATTCTAAGATATTCTAAGGTCCATGCTCTGGCAATTCATCTTGCTCTGTGGCCTCACACGTAGAAAGAAGAATGATGCAGAATGTTCATTTCTTCCTGTGTGATATCACCTGAAGAAAACCAATTGAAATGCTGAAGAGTGGTCGACCAGGTGATCAGTCCAGATGGATGTTCTTCAAACAATGCCGCTTGTACGGGCCACAACTCGCTATAGAGGGAAATGCCGCTCCTCCAAGTACTCTTGTGGTCAAACCCGAAAGCCTGTTAGTTCGGAGTTCCAGCATTTGACGAAGTTGCCACTCCCTTCTCGCCTCCAGAAGACAGCAAAGCCCACACTCCAAGCTTTTGACATGTCGCCTTCGGGCGGCATTTTGGGAAGAGGACCCGAGCACCTCTGAGGGTCATAGTTTAGGGAAGTGAACTGATTGGAAGGTCGCAGAAGCTTTGAATCAAAGTGCCTCCCTCCGTGGGTTGCCTGATTCAATCCCAAAGGCTTCATGAAGCCGGTGAACCAGCAGTCTGATTCTCTGTGTCAGTTCCTTTCATTCCCCTTTGAACGTGTGCCCTCTTGTGCACAAGTACCTTTTTCTTGTCGTGAGACCGCCGAAAAGGAAGTCAGGATATTCAAGACTCTTGTCGAGCTATTTGGAATCTTGTGGGGAGGTCGGGGGGGGGCAAAGATTGAGGCCGCAGTAGCAGTAGCTGCCCCCCTCCACGGTCACGCGGACCAATGACGGAATATGTGCAGTGCTCTTTTCGGTGGCCAGGCACGCGATCATGCTGATGGATCTTGTAGGACAATGTCTCGGGCATGCAAGCGACCAACAATGCAATTTTCCTGTGGAAGCAGAAGGTGTCCAAAGGGAATTGACGAAGCCCGTACTCCCCAAAAATGCCACGGCAAAAGAAGAAGTGGCGCTTGGGCCTGACAATATGTTCGAAGCATGAAAACCCTGCCCTCTGCGTATACATGCGTATACGCTTTGTGTTATAATCGGTTTCCACGCAAACCGCATAAATAGTCCTTCCACTATGTTGTTGAAATGATCTATATACATGTTATGACACCCACCTGACTCTCTAGGCATTGCCGAGTTGCAAAACCATGCCAGTGACCTGTCAGCAGACAGCGTTCAAAGCAATTGGGTGCGGGAAGCCAATTGATGGGACCTTATCCAAATCCTATCAGGAATTCCTCAATCTCTGGCTGACTACATCTGTTTCAAGTGGGCAAAGAGCACGATCAAGAGAAGAGCCTTTGCCTGGACCTTAGGATAGCAAGTGGATCTACAAAGGCCACATCTCCACCGTCTCCACCATGAGTATGCCATCTTCTCTGTGGCCAGAAGATACAACAGAAGCTTCTTTTGTCGCATCCGACCTTACAGTCCGCGCCATCTCTTTGTAGCGCTGGGTGGCTGGCCATCTCTTCATAGCCACCTCCTTGTCCACCATTCGTGACCTTTGTTGGCAAAGCGTCCTTGCCCTGAAGTGATGTCGAACCGGAAGAAAAAGCGTTGCTGCGTGCGTTCGAAAGCCCATCATGAAGCAGCAACGCAAAGATCATGATATCTTGACAATGGTAGACCACTTGCAAGTGCCAACACGGTTCAATTGTTCATGACAACTCATTGACGATCGAGGCAACAGCATCCAGGGTTATCTCAATGTAGTCGTTCGGCACGTGGTGACTTGCCTGGGTGGGCACAAAAGCTAGAGGCTGATTGCAATACTACAATTACTGTATATATGAAATCTCTACCGGACTGGCTGGCTGAGCCTTCTTGGATATTCTTGGTAACAAGCTTATGGCGGCGCTACTTGATTTAAAATATCAACTGATTTCTGGCACACCAAAGCCGGTATCTAAGCAGCTTGACTAGGACCGGCACATCTCCAATCCAAGACACGACGCAATTAAGGGCCCGACCATTGACATTTTCTTTCCAATCAACGTGGGCTTTTTGATTGCAATCTTCTTTAGAACCTGAGCCGCTCGCAGCTCCAGGTTCTATCTAGATGCTTAACAATCCTTCTCAAAGCAGGATGCCAGCCTTCCGTCTTAGTAGAGACAGCTTAGGCAAAGGCTAAGCATTTCTCTGAATCTTCTGGAGATTATTGAAGTGATCCTATAGTCCGACGCATCTTGGGCAAAGTTTCATGGACACTTGTAAGTCAAGCGCGGAGACATTCACATGCCCCAACTTGTATGCATTTTCAGGCCCACAATTTTGACATGCTTGGAAAGGTGCTTTTGTTTTCACATCTAAACATGTTCAAACCAACCAAACAAACCAGGTGTCATCCTTGTGGCTTGGTGTCGTTTCTGGGTGCCACTGCCCAAGGTCCGACCTCAAACTCCGCTCTCCGTCTCTACAGAGCTCGACACAGTGTCACAGTGTCACAGTCCCCAAACGACTACACAACACATCAATTGAAGAGTTCAAGTGTTTCGCTGATCAGCATACCATAGCATAGCAAATCTGCACATCAAACCTGTTCACAACAACTTCTTTACTTTCAACATGTTTCAACCCATCGACCGGACTCTTCACTGCTCAACCCATCCCTGCCGACCTCCACCGAGAAGATCGCCTTCAACTTGGCCTTCCGCTCCTCCGCGTCGGCCTCCAAGAACCGTCGCCAGACCAGGGCCTCCACGGGAAGTGTTGGAGATGGAGAGGGATTCCCCCAACTAGGAGCAGGGACGCTACTAGGGGCTCCTGGCCTTACTACTAGGAGCAGGGACGCTACTAGGGGCTGCTGGCCTTACTACTAGGAGCAGGGACGCTACTAGGGGCTCCTGGCATCTTTGCAGCGCCTCCTGGGAGATGTCGAAAACTAGGTGCCATGCACTTTCCAGGCATGACTCGAAAGGAACAAACTTTCCTCTCTCTTGGTGCACCTCTCGATTTGTGCGTGTCATCCTTGTGCAGGGGCCATGCTAATCTTCGTTCCAATGTGATGATCCCCCAAGGGAATCCACTCTCCTCTGTCTGTTTCTATCTCTCGCGCTCTCTCTCTCTCTCACTCTCTCTCTCTCCTCTCTATGCTCTCTGCTCTCTGTGGACTCTGGTTCTGTGGCCACCCTTTGATTCGAGAGAGCCTCTTAGCCGGTTTTGTCTGTCGGCCTGTGTGCAGGGGCAATCTCAAGGAAAGCAACAAGCCGGCTGTTGTTCAATTTTGGCGGACGAAGGGAGCTCTGCATGTGCAGATGCTGCGCGAGGCAAGGCAATTCCCCACAAGAATCTAGAGTCCGAATCGTCATTCGCACGTCGCATCTAGAGTGGCTCTTCCCCTCGCTTCGACCAGATCCCTAGCCCGTCCTGTGGGGAGTTCTCATCCTCGAGCCACGGTGCTGCTGGGTCCAGGGCTGCAGTCAAGATGGTCTGCATTGATTTGGCGGTCGAATGGGTCTGTCACTTCGGAGTTTCCAGGAACTTGAAAGCGCAAGGGTCTCGCTTCATAGATTCGTAGATCTTGAATTCTGCCTTCCTGGGTCCCAAGCAAGTATTGGTGTCTTTTGTACATAATTTCTCTGCAACAGTGGGTCTCATTGGTCTCATTTGGTCTCAAGGATGAAAATGCATACAAGGAGAATCTCAGTTCGTCACATTGCCCATTTGGGCTAAAAATGATGACGACTACGTGGAGGGTCTCCCTGTGAGGTTTGAAAGTAAGGACAAACGAGGCACGACCTCCACTATTCAGGGCAGGTTGAGACATCACGATGAGCACTTGGAATATCTCCAAAACCGGCCCACCATCGTAGCATGGAGCAGATTAAGTCACACAACTTGAGCAAAGCGATGTTTGGCAGAGTCAGGATGATGATGTAAATATATATATATACATATACATATTATATACTGTATATACATATAATACTACATACTTATACTTATATAGAATATACATATATATATACACACACACACTGTACTCAAATTGTCAAGACCAACCTAGCAGCCCAACCCATGGGTTCCGTTCCATTGTTTGGTTGGACAGTCCCAGAATCCTGAACATGTCGCTACCACTGACATCTGTGGAAAGCGCCTGATAGGGTGGCATGACAAAGTTCCAGATCCAAAGGAAGCGTCTCTCGCCAGCGCGCCGCAGTCCCTACGAGGGCAACTCAAGAGATCTAAGACATGTGAGCGAGGTAGAAGCAGCGTGTTTGATGTGTTTGATCCTATTTGTTGTGTGGGGCCTGTGACAACTTCAGAATCGAAGCTCAAAGACTCAAAGAGTACGAAACGCAAAGAGAATTGGCAGCCCTGTGGATCAGGGAGTCACCACTTGCCTGTTGTGCGGCGGCAAAAATGTCGGCAAGGCTTCTACAAGCTATTGCATGCACCCTCGATGACCAAGTCTTGGGTGGAAAACAATGCTCACATGACCTTTCACTCTTGGGTGAAAGGCTGAGAAATCTGCAAGTACTCCCATGCCAGGTATGCAAATACCAGCATAGATGCCCGGTCTATGCACAGCCTTCTGATCAGAATTGACTATGGACAACCCCCAACTGACATAAAGTATACTAACATTATTTTTACCAAATGACACGAGACTGGAGAGGTGAACAACTTCAACAAGCTCATGTGTCATAGTATGTACATATCATATCATATCATATCAATATGTTTATATATATATATATATCATTGGCTTTCCGGACGATGTGTTCACGCGGCAGCTCCCCAAGCTTTCCTGGAAGGAGAAGTCGGGATGCTTGGCCTCAGTCACGAGCATGTTCTAGATTGTTCTAGCCCCTCCAACCTAATAGCAAAGGAACCTAATAGCGATGGCCTCCAAAATAGCAATGGCCTCCAACATAATAGCGCACACTGTCACACTGTCTCTTCAGATAGAATTGAACATACATCCCGTCATTGTTTCTTGAAACTGGTTTTGTTCCGTGTAGAAACTTGGCGGACCCAAAACAGAAAGAGAGCGCTGACTCGAAGGAAAGGTGAACCTTAAGAACTCTCCACTCTCTCGTACTCCTTCATTGTTCTTTGGAGTGTCATTGTTTAGGCTACAATTCTGCTTGGCCACTAACAGAATTTGCTAGTATGATCTCCCAGTCTTTCTCGAAGGCGCACGTGATGCTACCCCGTGGCTTCAGACTGGAAAACTCAGAATCCACATGAATCCACAGCTTAAACATACCGACCTGGTGACCTGAGAGTCACTCCCGATGAGCTATGCAAGTACCTTTCAAACATCAGAACTGTCCAGCACTGATCAAGCTTGTAGCCTTTTGCTATCTTTTGCTCATCATCCACTGCCTGACCCGGACCACTAGCGCCGTTCCTAAGCTCCTTGCAGATTCAAAGACCGGCCCAAGGCCGCCGATCCGCACGATGTCAATGTCCAGAAGCTCCAGCATGGCTGCACCTCGGGAACGACGGACTATCGACCGAGTGCGACCAAGTTGATCATCCAAGAGATGCGGAACTGATAGTAGCTTCTTGTTTCTAATGGCAAACATTGTTCCTAGTAGTAAGGCCAGGAGCCCTAGTAGCGATGCCCGCACTTGTAAGGTTGGGAGATTCAAACTGGCAATGACTCTTGAAAGAAGCTCGAAACAGTTCAGAAATTCTTGAAGAGGTGGAGACAAGTGGAGGGAGCTGTTTATTCATCTAAGCTTCTCCCCTCTGTCGCTGAGGAAAGGTTGTCAGGCAAAAAGCTTGGTTTTTAGAGAGCAAGCTCACAGGCTATGAGCATCAAGGCCAGAACCTGAAGGCATCTTTGACCTGAGGAGAGAAATCTGGTGTGTGATGAAATTCGAAGAGACTCAGTGTGTGTGAAGTTGGATAGGACACTTCCAAGTCAAAGTCAGTGGTGCAACTGTGAGCAACTTGAGACAAAAATGTGTGTGCGTTCTGGGCGGACAAGATAGCTGCAAAGACATACTGAGGTAGCCATCGCAAGCATCCTTCTCTATGCAATGTCTAAGGAAATCACCACCGTTGCTACTGCTGCTATCCAAACGACTATAGGGCGGGCAAGCAACAGCCGAGCCCTGCTTGCATACACTAAGGCCTTCTGACGATAGCACCAAGCTAAAAACGCCAACACAAACATGGCCAACATGGGAGACAACTGCCAGCTAATCAAGAAAGGATGCTTCCTCTTGGCCGCTTGGCCATAAACATTGTTTCTGAACGCTTGCTGCCCAGGTGCCCATCAGTGAAGTACGAGGCTGATCGAAGCTTGTAGTTGAACCTGCCATGCTGGTGCCTTCTGTCAGGCTTAGAAGACCCTTGGGCCCTTTTGGCTTCAGAAAACCGTCACTCACTGAAGCCTCAGACGTGGCTTCCCACAGCGTCCCAAAGGGAGCACTGAACTGTGTCAAATGTTCTGCCCAAGAGGGAAAGTTTATTTTATAATGCTATATACAGTACATGAGTTGAGATATTGCCAGCTCTACCAGGATTGTAGGAGCGCTCATGTATGTGTGTAGTCTTTTTACTGCACCTGTCCTATGATTCCTGCGTGCCCTTCGCTGATTTGCAAAGCCATTTTGATACTTTCGAATTTAAGGTCCTCAGACTCTTCTTCTACAGATCCAGTACGTATGATCTCCAGTGTGCTGCAGAGGTCCACTCTGCCAGGGTAGCTGTACCCTCACCCAACTGTTCTTGTCATCTTACTTAGGCCTATGGTCGCAAGATGTCGTAAAATGTCCTATGGTGATTCTTTTTTCAAAAAAATGAAATCTCGACCCTTGAAACCGACCCCAACTGCGTCGGCTGCACGGATCGTGCAGACTCCAGCTATGCTCCCCAGTCCCTGCGAAGAAGTGTGGCAGTTTTTAAAAAGACCTTGTTGTTTAAGCCCGTGGCCCTGCCTCCTTAATTAAGTAGGCGCCTATTGAATTAATGTTGGATCCTTATTAGTAAAGGGGGGTCCCCCCCCTACCTCAAACAAACAGAGGACCCTCTATAATAAACTACCACCAAAACAAATCTGGATTCCTGTGAGAATTCCTGTGAGAAAGCTGTCAGTTTTGAAGAACCCTAGAGAAAACTACATCAGCTAATGAATCATAATCATTCGCCTCAGGAGCTAAGGAAAGGAAGATTACATGAGCAATTTTTTCCAGTGGAAAAAACTTTTCACAATTGAGAACCCAAAAACAAAT